TGCTCTTGGCTTTATATATGACACATATGTGAATGTGATTTGGTGTGTGCATCAGCCATAATGTTCTTTTCCATAAATGATGTATTTAACAAATGACTAGGTTTTATACAATAATATCCAGTTAAGGGGCTATAGTTTCTTGCTTTTTTTATAGACTTTTTATTGAAGTTTTGTGAGAACACTCTCATATCTTCTGCTGCCTTGGCTGCAGTATGTCTGTTGGACCTGTTTGAAACACTCTGGAATAGAGACTCAGGGGAAGCACAAATTAGGCCTTGAACGAGAGTTGGACACTCCCCCCTACAGACACGCAAAGAGCATAAATAATGAATGTCAACTGGTCCTCCCCTGTGTTTCTTCTGCTCGTTTTCATGTCTTATTTACGTTATTCTGCTCATTGTGCTCATTTCAGTTGTTTCTTTTACTCTACAGGAGGTAACAAACAGACAATAAGAATAGACATTGCCATTATCATGATTGTAATAAACATTGTCATCTTTAAGTGTTGATAAATATGCAGAATATATTATTATAGCTACAGAGTTTTACAATGGAGTGCAAAAGTCTGGGACCACACTGAAATGTAGGATTTAGAATATAATTTTAACCTTGAAATAAACAGTTTTAGGATTAACTTTGATCAAATAAAAATTTGAGAGAAATGTTATTATAAAAAATATTTAAGATTTTTTAAATCTTAGAAGTAAATTTCATGACATTGATCATCTGACTTGTATACATGTTCTTGCTTCCATTGAAGCACACAATGCTCTTTGGATCATTCTTGATCTTCAGGTTTTACACAAAGACTTTTGGGCTTCGCTGTTTTTCAGGGTTTTATTATATAGTTTGACAATATTTGCTCAGTATTTTAAATGATGTAATTCACAAGGTCATTGCAATACTCACTACTGCTTTTTCCTCCCTCAGTGAGCCCAAACCTTAGCGTGCGTCCATGTAAGATTCCCTGCGCCCTGCGAACCAGCTGTGCCAACTGCACCAGCCAGGCCATGGAGTGCATGTGGTGTGGCAGTACCAAGCGCTGTGTGGATTCCAATGCTTACGTCATCTCCTTCCCCTACGGCCAGTGTCTGGAGTGGCAAACTGGAGACTGTGGCGGTGAGTGCACGCTCATACCATCAAGGACACTCGCACATTAAGATACATGGCAGACTAGAAGCTGGAGTTATGAGTACACACTATTCTGGTGAACACACACAGCTTCTAACTCGTTTACTTTCTGCCTTCTCATTTTTCCCTTCTGTTGTGAGCCTAAGGGAGATAGAGTTCTGAGAGAGCAGATGCTGTGAACACTCAGCCCTGCTGCACAGGCAGGTATCAAACTCACTATAAACTCCTGTCATACTCTTGACTGGCCTCCACTGGAAAATCTATAAATTATCGACGTCTGTCCGGCCTTGCACGTGAGACAAAGACTCTGAACTAAGAGAAAAATGTCTTTCTGATCTTAGTCTCAGACCTTTCATCTTATTCAGACTTTTGACTTGTGGCCTGAAGTCTTGTCCTCATTGCAGGTTTTCTGACAAAGAACAACCCACTTAGATAACGAGATCTGGGGCCAGTTGCATAAACATAGCCACTATGTTAAGACTGTGTCTTAAGAACTAGTTTGACCAAATAGCAGTTAGCCAAGAGATAATCAGTCTCACTTTTCTGATTAAAATTTTACACAGTTATGACCAGACTAGAAGAAAACAAATTAGATGGCTAACTTTTTAAGACTAGTCTAAGCAGTTTATGCAACTGGCCACTGATTGTCATGTAAAGTGACTAAACGCTCTTTGTTTTGTGCCATTTAGTGGTTGGGTTTTCTAAAATAAATGAAGTCATCACTAACAAAAAATGACTTAAAGGGATATTTCACCCATAAATGAAAAATGTCATCAGATACTCACCCTCTTGTCAAATTTCTTTTTTCTGTTAAACGCAAAAGAAGATATGTTGAAGAATGTTGGTGTAATGCCAGGCCAGCAGAGGGAGCCCTCGCCCGAGTATTGACTGTCACACTCCCGCTGCTGCCTCGTTGGTGACTTCCTGTTTGGCAGCCATAAAGCATGGCTTGCCCAAACACTCTCTGTGAAGTATTGCCAGTCTCACTGCCTTACTGAGCATTCTATTACCATTGCCTGTTGATATTGTGTATGACTTCTTGCCTGTTTGATTCTATTTCTGATTATTGGATTTTCCCTCTGTTTTGGCTGCTGATTGGACTGATTGACTGTGTTTAGACTACTGCCTTTTTCTGACGCTGATTCTGTATTGCCCTTTAAATAAACTTCTGCATATGGATTCTCACTCGGCTTCAGCCTCCTCGTTACGGAATACTTCGCCACCCATGAATCCAGTGGAAGTTTCGGAGTTACAAGCGGTGTTCGCCTATCAAAGCGAGGTACTCAAAGGCTACCAAAAACAACTTGAAAGCCTGCAGTCCACCAATGAATACTTGACACATTATATTCGTTCACTTCCTCCACCCATTCCACAAAGGTAAGCCTTGCTATGCCTGATAAATTTGATGGTTCAGCGGATAAATGTAGAGGTTTTATCCGACAAGTAGAAATGTATTTTGACCACCAGAAAGACAAGTTTGCTTCTGATAACCAGAAATGTGCTTTTTTTGATGACACTCCTTACGGGAAGAGCGATTACCTGGGCTGCTGCTGTTTGGGAGTCGGATTCAATAATTTGTTGAATACTTTAAACAACAGTTACGTGATGTGTTTGAATATCCTGCTGGGGGCAGGGACATTTCGACGCAATTACTTTCTATGTCCCAAGGAAATCATTCAGCAGCAGACTACGCAGTGGAGTACAGAAAGCTGGCAGCACAGAGTGGATGGAATGATGTCTCGCTGAAAGCAGTTTTCCAGTGAAGCTTAACTCAGGTACTTCAAGCAGAACTGGCCTGCAAGGGTGCGAATTCAACTTTCTGAGTTTGTGAATTTAGCCATAAGGATTGATAACCTAATGAGGAATGCTCTTAAGAGAAAACCTGCTTATGGGTCGTTGTCAAGCACATCAACTCTATCCCAGTCACACTCAGTTCCCCTGGCCACCAACCAGGAACCTATGCAACTGGGTCTCTCAAGGTTCTCTTAGGGGGAGAGAGTTCGACGACGACTGCACAACTTGTGTTTCTATTGTGGTGAGGCTGGACATCATAGGCTGAAGTGCCCACACAAGACTCAGACGTTCTCCAATCCCACACCCTGGGTAAATATTGATCAGTTCTTTCTCCTGCCATTTAAAACACTCACCATTCCTGTTCAACTGGCTTCTGATGAAAACTCAATTTTGTTGTCAATGCTGATCGACTCTGGAGCTGCCTTAAACCTCATTCACGAAGACATCGTCATCAAATACAACATTCCCACTCAACCTTGTAAACCACCTATCAAGATCCGAGCAGTTGATAATTCACCCATTGGAGATGTTATAACAGAACAAACTCACCCCATTCAACTCCAAGTCGGCCTGTTCCATCAAGAGGCTATCTCATTTTATGTAATCGACTCTCCAAGAAATGAAATCATCCTAGGCTTTCCTTGACTATCAGTTCATGACCCAGTTATTTCCTGGCATCATGGTGAGTTAACCCACTGGTCAAATTTTTGCTTAACCCATTGTATGCACTGACATTTCACCTTAGTGCCTGTCTACCAGTGTTGAAAGCCCTGTCATCGAACAAACTACTAAAGTCCCAGACTGTTACAACGACTATGGTGAGGTATTTAGCAAGGTGAAGGCCACCCAATTACCACCTCACCGTCCCTGGGATTGTGCTATCGATCTCCTTTCCAATGCCATGCCACCCAAAAGTAAAGTGTACCCGTTAACCCATGACGAAACCCAAGCTATGGAGGGTTACATTGAAGAAGCCTTAAACAATGGATTTATCTGCCCTTCAACGTCTCCAGCCACTGCAGGTTTCTTCTTTGTAGACGAAAAGAATGGTGGACTTCGTCCTTGTATCGACTATAGAGGTTTGAATAACGTAACAGTCAAGTTCCGCTACCCTCTCCCTCTGGTTCCAGCAGCCCTTGAACAACTCAGAGAGGCAAAGATTTTTACTAAATTGGATTTAAGTGCATACAACCTGATCCAGATCCGTGACGGGGATGAGTGGAAGACAGCCTTTCTCACCACTAGGGGACACTACTAGTACCTCGTTATGCCATATGGGCTAGCCAATGCTCCAGCTGTGTTCCAGTCATTCATTAATGAGATACTTAATGATCTGTTAAATCAATATGTGATAGCTTATATCGATGACATCTTAATCTATTCCAAGTCAGAAGCAGAGCACATCCAACACGTCAAGATGGTTCTTTCATATCTCCTCGAGAATCAACTCTTTGTCAAGGCAGAGAAATGTGAGTTCCACGTCTCACAAACAACATTTATGGGGTATAACATCAGCCATCAAGGGGTAGAAATGGACAAATCCAAAGTCAAGGCAGTCAGCGAATGGCCACAACCAACTACCGTCAAGGAACTGCCGAGGTTCTTAGGATTTGCTAACTTTTTTACAGACGCTTCATCCGTGGCTACAGCTCCATTGCCTCCCTGCTGACTTCTCTCCTCAGAGGTAAACCGTCCAAACTGAAGTGGACAGAAGATGCAGCCACGGCCTTCAATACCCTCAAGGTTAGCTTCACAACAGCACCCATATTACGACATCCAGACCCTAATCTCCCCTTTGTGGACGCATCTGACAGTGGCATTGGAGCTGTACTCTCCCAGCGTCACGGACAACCTGGTAAATTATATCCATGTGCTTTCTTTTCAAGAAAACTCTCGCAGGCAGAACGTAATTATGATGTGGGCAATAAGGAATTGTTATCTATGAAGGCCGCTATTGAAGAGTGGAGACACTGGTCCATCCGTTCCAAGTTATCACAGACCACAAGAACTTGGAGTACATCAAAAGTGCCAAATGTCTGAATTCTCGCCAAGCTCGATGGTCCCCGTATTTTTTAATACACATTTCCGGTTCACAGTCACATACAGACCCGGAAGTAAGAACAGTAAAGCAGATGCTCTGTCAAGACGCCATGACTCTCTTGTCATTCCTGGTCCACCTGGAACTATACTGCTCCTATCCGTCATCATCGCACCAGTTACTTGGGACATCATGGAGGAAATTCAACGAGCCCATCAGCAAGAACCACCACCAGCCGACTGCCCCCCCCAACCAAGCATTACTTACCCCATGCTCTTCGCCACCGAGTCATGCAGTGGGTTCACACAACTCTATGTTCAGGTCATCCAGGGATCTTGCACACAATCAACCTGCTACAGAATTCTTTCTGGTGGCCTTCAATGAGTAGAGATGTTACCACTTATGTCAAGACATGTCAAGTTTGTGCCCAATCAAAGACCCCCAAAGAACTGCCCTCCGGCCTGCTACATCCATTACCCATTCCACAACGCCCCTGGACACATCTATCGATCGACTTCCTCACTGACCTACCTCTCATGGAGGAAATTCAACGAGCCCATCAGCAAGAACCACCACCAGCCGACTGCCCCCCCCAACCAAGCATTACTTACCCCATGCTCTTCGCCACCGAGTCATGCAGTGGGTTCACACAACTCTATGTTCAGGTCATCCAGGGATCTTGCACACAATCAACCTGCTACAGAATTCTTTCTGGTGGCCTTCAATGAGTAGAGATGTTACCACTTATGTCAAGACATGTCAAGTTTGTGCCCAATCAAAGACCCCCAAAGAACTGCCCTCCGGCCTGCTACATCCATTACCCATTCCACAACGCCCCTGGACACATCTATCGATCGACTTCCTCACTGACCTACCTCACTCTGATGGATTCACTACCATTCTGGTGATCATTGACCGGTTCTTTAAATCAAGCTGACTAATATCCCTCAAGGGTCTCCCCACAGCCATAGAAACGGCACAGTCTCTTTTCCACCATGTCTTCAGAATCTATGGTCTGCCTGAAGACATAGTTTCTGACAGAGGAACTCAATTCACTTCACGAGTCTGGAAAGCTTTCTGTAAGCAGCTTGACATAAATGTAAGTCTCACCTCAGGCTACCACCCTCAGTCTAATGGACAAGTTGAACGACTCAACCAGGAAATTGGAAGATATTTGCGGAGTTATTGTAGCCGAGAACAACATCGGTGGGCAGAATTCCTTCCATGGGCCGAATATGCTCAATTCCCTGACACATTCTTCTACAGGACTAACCCCCTTCCAGTGTGTTCTGGGATATCAGCCTCCTCTGTTAGCGTGTTCAGGAGAACCTTCATCTGTCCCAGCAGTGGACGGCTGGATCAGGCGTAGTGAGAGGGTGTGGAACAGTGTTCCCATCCATCTACAAAGGGCTGTCAGGACACAAGGTTTCCAGGCCAACCGACCACGCCGTCTGCACCCTCCCTACCAACCAGGACAATAGGTCTGGCTCTCCATGAGGGACCTCAAGCTACGGCTACCTAGCAGGAAGCTAAGCCCCAGGTATGTTGGCCCTTTCAAGATCACTAGACAAATCAATGAAGTCACTTATGAACTTGAGCCTGCTGCCACTTATCGTATTTCTCCTTTTCATGCGTCTCTCTTTAAACCCTTTCACCCGGACGCTGACCCCAACGCCGAGCATCAAGAGCCACCGCCACCTTTGGAAATCGACGGATCGCCTGCTTATAAGGTCAATATGTTGCTGGACTCTAGGCGTAGAGGGGGTCAGCTCCAATATCTGGTGGATTGGGCGGGCTACGGGCCTGAGGAGAGATCTTGGGTCAATGCACCTGACATTCTGGATCCATCATTCATAGAGGAATTCCACAGAGCCAGACCCGACCGACCAGTTTCACGACCACGGGGACGTCCTTGTCGAGTGCCAGGAGTCGCTCCTAGAGGGGGAGGGGGGGGGGTTCTGTAATGCTAGGCCAGCAGAGGGAGCCCTCGCCCGAGTATTGACTGTCACGCTCCCGCTGCTGCCTCGTTGGTGACTTCCTGTTTGGCAGCCATAAAGCATGGCTTGCCTAAGCACTCTCTGTGAAGTATTGCCAGTCTCACTGCCTTTGCCTGTTGATATTGTGTATGACTTCTTGCCTGTTTGATTCTACTTCTGATTATTGGATTTTCCCTCTGTTTTGGCTGCCAATTGGACTGATTGACTTGGTTTAGATTACTGCCTTTTTCTGATGCTGATTCTGGATTGCTCTTTAAATAAACTTCTGCACATGGATTCTCACTTGGCTTCAGCCTCCTCGTTACAGTTGGTAACAAAATAGTTAACATTTTAGTAAAGGGACCAATTCTCACTATTAAAGGCACAATATGTATGATTTTCTTAATGTCCAAAGACCATTTGCACAGTGTGACGTATTTCATGTGTTTGTGTGCTTATGTTATCCCAAAAGTTCCCAAGGATTTGTAAATCCAGAGAAATTCCAATTTTAAATAATGTCTCGTCATTGTCGCCTATCAATGACATATCTGCACTACCATCAGTTTCCGCTTGTAGAAACAATCGCAACACATGGACACAAATGCTGCTGTACAGTTAATCTAAATCCAATACGGCTGTCGGGAATAAAATGAAAATTAAATGAAGTGTTGACCGTAGCATTAAATCTAGATATGCTCAATGTTGCGCCATGATTAGTAATAATGGCATGATACAGTGTTGTGCATTATTACCAATCACACACGAGTGTGAGCTTATGAATGCAATGGCCAATCAGAGGCGTTCAGATGAGATTTTTGTTCACTGCATGCGCTCGCTGACTGAATTCAGCTCTCACATGAATGCTCTCATCATAAACAACAAAGTGCAGATGTATGTATGATGTAAGTAAGAGATTCATTCGTTAAACCGTGTATAGACAGCTTTACTGATTATAAGGGGAGTTTTTTGAGAGTGCTTAAACTCGCGACTGAAGTCAGTCATAATATTCTTTGACAATGTAGGTGTTCTTTGCTCTCTTTCTCTGTATAGTTTTTTCTCTGTTTGAATAACTGTGGAAGTTACAGGTAGTTAAAAATAATTCATTTCCTCATCCATGAACATTCTCCTTCATAGTGTCATCAAGCTTCGCCTTTGTTATTGTTTTGAAAATTAAACCTCTAGCTGCGAAAACGTACATATTTTGCCTTTAACTAGTAGTTAACATATTGGCTGTTTATTAGTACTTACTAGGCAATTATTGTGAATGACAATATTCTACATCCCTATTCCTTCCCAATACAAAAACTACCTTACTAACTATTAATAAGCAGCAAATTAGGAGTTTATTGAGGCAAAGGTCATGGTTAATGGTTTGTCAAGAGCAAGAACTAGACCTTAAAACAAAGTGTGACCAAATAGTTTTAATGACCATTTACTTCCTTTTCATTTTACGGAAAAAAATAAAAAAAGAGACATTTCTCGAAATATGTTTCGCTGTGGATTTACACCATTTTTTTTCTGTCGTAGCGCCACCTATGGGCAAAATTTGATGCAACTTGGAGTGCAATTTAGCAAGCAGCTTGTCTGGTTGCCTGTGTTTGTCAAGTTTTGTAAAATATGGACTTTGCGTTCTGTAGATATAGGTCAGTTCATTAAAATGTGCAATGCCAGACAGATTAATTCACTTATTTTTGCAATGCTTTGATGTATCAAAGTGTCGAGATTTGGTTTGTGCAACATTTGGTAAAGATTGGATGAATGGTTTTGAATGATTAGAAGGAGTTTAGAAGGTGTTTGTGAAGATTGTGGGAAAAAAAACTATGAATAGAAATGAAATGTAGGAAATGAAAATGCATTTATTAGTTCTGCCTAATGTCAGTTGTGAACATGCGCTTACAGTAGTGGTGGGATTTGTCACTATGCCACAGAATTTGGTGTCTACAACTTAAGTTTTCTGAGGTACAGACACATTTAGGACAGAAAAAGAGTTTAGCTCCTGTGGGGCTTGGACCCCTAATGCCGAGTTCACACTGCATGATTTTCAAAGTCGTCGGATCACCGTTGTTTTCACACTGCACGACTATCTGGGGTAGCATTCAGTTGCTGCTGTTTTCACATTTCACGATGGATCGACGACAGGAGGTTACACACTGCATGACTTTACAATAGGAAGAATCACCGACAACTCTGTCTGGTCCGCAAACCACGTTTCACAACCAAAGGCACGCAAGAAGTGATCAAGAAATAACGCAAGATCACAATGATATCGTGGTCTCCTCCCCGATCAAACAGTAACAAAGATGACTTCCATTGTTAACAACATACTTATGCTAGGAACATTTTATATACATAAATATAAGTACTTGAAAGTGAAACCAAGAGTTTATTTCTTATACAAAAGCCCTCAAAGTGATGAAAAAGAAAAATGCAATACATCTTTTGTCCTTTATGGAAGAATAAGAGAGAGAGAGATTTCTTCATGCACCTGTTCTGTATATTCTAATGCAAAAGTGTACTGATATCGCCACGTTGGCCAATTGCTTAGTAAAAAATAAAAGTCCTCACCGAACTTCCCACTGCCCTGTATCTTGCTCTCTCATTGGCTGTAGGTCATCGCCGATATATTTTTCAGTCAGAACTCATTTCTCACAGCAGGATTTTGAATCGGCGACAGGTCCAGATATTTGGCATGCCAAATATTTCACGGGCGTCGGCAAGTCATCGGCAATTCTCTCAGATCGCGTCTTTGATAATTGACTCTGCGTGATTGTCACATGCATGAATGAGGACCGATTTGCCTCCGATTTCGGGCATTTGTCGGCGATTTCGCAAAACCTAACAGCCAGTGAAAATCTGGGCTAAAATCATGCAGTGTGAACTCGGCATAAAGAGGATTTATTTTCTTCTTTTTTTGACAGTAAAATAATTGCACAGCAGTCTCTGTGAAAAGAAAATCTGAATTCATTTTAAAAGATTTGCTGTCACTAATTTGGCAAATCTAGAGCATATACCATGTAACAATTATTCTCAGTTCAGTTCCTTGAAAACCCAGCTTTGTTGCTGATATATATTTTTATATTAATATTTCTGAAGTTGTGTAAAGTCAACCAATTAAATTTGAACAGGTGATTTCACCCTTGCCATTTTTATGTGCATCATGCGTCAGTGTGAAAACTGTGGGCGGTCCATGGGCACGGCATCTGAGTCTGAGGCCGAGGCTGTTCAGATCTCTGCTCAGTCACTTTATGATTCAACAGCTCCTTTAGTTCCTTCTAAGTAGATTTGCAGAAATATCCCTATACACAAGAGCGATATCATGTGGTCCAAAACAACACAGAATCATGCCAAAGTATCTGAAATGACTGATGGTAATCGTCTCAGAAAAGCCTTAGGAGTAGCTGACGCGGACCTACCTTGTATAGTCATCAGCAAGTTTGTAGACGCATAGAATCATTCTTTCCTTCTGCATTAAGAGGCACTGGAGCTGGCAGCGTAAATGAGCAGCTGCAATGGGGACGAGAATGAAAAATAGATATTCAGTCCAACTGAGAGGCATAATGCTTAATAACCAACATATTTCTTCAGAAAAAAATACTACTACAAAAACCTGACAGGCGAAATTGCCTGTCTATAGTGTCTCAGGAAGCTGAAGGTTTTTCATGGCCTTGAGACCCTGAGACCACGACCTCCCCTTCCATTCGCCATTATAGAGTTACACAGATATTACTGTTCTTTCTCTGTGGATGTGCTGGTCATTGATTTTATCTGCACTGCAGAGACTAAAGGCCTCCAGTGCATTGTTAACTTGGATGTTGATGGTTGTATTTCATAGAGGCGATCTGTCAGACAATAAACATCATTAAGGTCAGCTCTCTGATGGAAGTGAATTGCTAGAGGATATCTTTTCCTCCTCCAAGGAGTCGGTTCATGGGCAAAGCAAATATTTTGCTGCGTGATTCTTTGGTTTGAAAGGCCCTGTAGATGTAGCTGTTGTGATGGAGGATAATTTAATTAGAGAAAGTGCAGTTTTCATATTTAAACAAAGCTCCAGACAGAGATAAAGAAACAGTGTGACAGCATGATAATATGCACCTAATCAAAATGGAAATGAACTTCTTCACTGGCTCAATATGCTCAGCAAATATAGCCTTTTGAATTCAGAAGTTGAGATAATAGAAATACCGTATTGTACAATGCGCCAGCGTGTTGCACGTCGGCCGTGTCCATTGTGTTGTACTGTTATGGTACGAATGAGTTTGAAGTCTTTTTGTTTTTTGTTTTCAAAAACGTTTTAAAGTCTTTGTCATTATTCAGTCTTTAAAGACACAGACAAATGTGTGAACGTTCTTCAGGCAAAAAGTAAAGCTGTATGGTGAGCATACTTTTGTCATAACTTTCCTTTCTGTTCAAAATTATCTTACAATTCTATATTTTTTTTGGAAGTCGTTGTGGATAAGAGTTTCCACATCAGAAAAGTTTCACAAAAATATTTTAAAGGTCCCATATTGTCAAAACTGAAATTTCCTGGCTTTTTCACGATTACTGAGGTCTAGGGGCTATTTAACTACCATATACGTTTCAAAACAGCCAGTCCACAGTAAAATGCACACAGCCTGCTTAAAGTTCTAGCTATTTTTCACGAACCGTTGTGACCTCGTAAAAAGTTGACATCAGAACTGCACAGTCACCGCCTCGAGCACCGCCCAGTGTCCCACTCTCCTTTTGCCAAACCCCAGACAACATCGCGTCCATGCTTTTGCTGAGCAACAACAACACGGAAACATGTCGAAAAGGTTAACTTT